TGCAGCTCTGCCCACCCGCCTGATCTCTAGACTCTCCTGTTATGAAAGAAGTAACAGTTCTCACCCCAAAAACACATGCCGGGGGAAAGCAGGAAAGGACTGTCTTAGGCTACTGGCATCTTTCAGGCAAGAGGCCAAGTCAGAACTGAGGAAACAGTGTACGATTGTGTATAGAACAGCCTCCCGTATTATAATCATATATTTCCTTGGACATCCTCTGACTGTCAAATGAATAATGCTCCATTTCAGCTCCCCCTGGTAAGCAGGGCCTGATTTTAAGACCATTAGGAAGGGGAAGAATGCTACAGTCTTCTCAGTTTCTCTAGGGTCACAGTGTAATTGTGTGGCAGGAGGAACAGGGCCCTAGAGATGGTGTGACAGTCACTTCTCATTACCTCCCACTTGGTTCATTACATCTGTAGACAGCAATTGCCCATGTGTGGATACTTCCATTACACAGAAGGATATAATGTGCTGTAGACCTCGAATGGCTTTCAAAAGGGGAGAAGGCAGTGTATTCCAGGCACATACCTATCTTGCTTCTAGGGGCCATGGCAAAGGAATAGAAAGTGACATAAGGAATAGATTAGCGGTGATCAATACAGAAGAACGGGCCCCATACATGCTTCTACCCAGTGAGAAATTTATACATGTGCATCCTACTCACATATAACACAACACACAAAGGACAGAACCCCCACTTAACTAGTCTACAAATTTTACTTAAACAGACCCAACTCATTCAGGTGTATGCACATTAGCTATTCTGTGTGCCTTTTGAACTGGCATTATTCCTTCTCTCACACACAATCTGTGTGTGTGTGTGTGTGTGTGTGTGTGTGTGAGAGAGAGAGAGAGAGAGAGAGAGAGAGAAATACATTTTTCATTTGCAAGGATGAATCTTAAGAACAATGAAATCCAGGTATGTTATTTCATACTTTTTCTCAAGTGTGTAAAAAGCCCCAGTTAGATCATAAACTAAGGAGAATTAACAAAATAGACAATAGAATTATAGAGAATTATAGATTGTTAGAATCAGAAATGAATCTTCGGTATTATCTATAACAGCAGTGCTCAGACTTTTGCTTTAAAAATAAAACAAGGATCCCTGGGTGGCGCAGCGGTTTGGCGCCTGCCTTTGGCCCAGGGCGTGATCCTGGAGACCCGGGATCGAATCCCACATCGGGCTCCCGGTGCATGGAGCCTGCTTCTCCCTCTGCCTGTGTCTCTGCCTCTCTCTCTCTCATTCTATGTGACTATCATAAATAAATAAAAATTTTAAAAAAATTTAAAAATAAAAATAAAAATAAAAATAAAACAAAACCACCTCTCCCCTAAAAGTTAGTAAGAGGTATCTAAAAAGATACCCACAATAATATTAAGCTGGGATGCTATATACTATATCCTACTATTGGGAATTCACAATGATGTCAACTTGTTAAAGGTTCTGAGAATTCCCGTTACAGAAAAAAAAAAATACTTTTTAACTCAGAGTTCTCATTAATTCAAGGAACACTTATTTTTTAATTGCAGTCTTATCAATATCCTATGGAATAATTATACTACAGTAAGAAATCCTGTTCTACTACAGTCCCATCATTTTCTATAGATTTTCTATGTACTAGTAACTCTCAAATGTTAGCATTCATTCGAATCACCTGGGGCTCTAATAGTACCTTCTCAGAGATTATTCAGTGAACTGGGTAAGGTTTAGGAACTTTAATATTAATCCAGCAATTCTAATGGGGGGGGGCACTTCATACTCCAGTTTGGGAAATACCAAACCACACATGTGCTCTTTGTCTGAATTCATCAGGGATTGAACTACATGTTAACAAGAGAACTTTATAGTTAATAGGCTGGATGTCTGCAGCTTTGACTCTTAAAGTTAGCCAAGTTCATCATGAATTACAAGAGCTTCTGAATATGAAAATGAATGTTTCCCTCTATAAATTTACCACAACTGATGGCTCACCTTTACAGCTGACTTTAATAGTATTTCCTTTTCACTTTCAGACTTGTCTGTTCACTAGATTAATAATCCATTTTTATTAATTGATTCATTCAACACTTATTTCCAGAGCATTCTCTATGTGTCAGGCACTGGATGGAACACTAGGGATATTAGTGAGAAAAGGAGACAAAAATCCTCGCCCTTGTAGGCTAATGTCTTAGCAAAAGAGACACAGACAACAAAACATCAATGTAATAAGTAAATGACACAGAGTCAGAAGCTGGTAAATTCTATAACAGAACAGGCCAGAGGCACTCAAGCAGACAGGTGTGTAGGGAGCTGGGACAAGGACAGTGGGAAATAGGACAATGAAAAGCGACACTTGGGCAAAGTCTTAAAGAAAGTAAGGGAGGTGGCATTTTAAGGATGTAGAGTAAGGGCCCAGGCCTCAAAAACAGCCAATGGTTATGGAAAAGGAGTGAAAGAAGGGTGCGCAGGGAGAGAGTGGGGAAATGGAGAATAGGCGCCAAAGAGTGAGTCACCCAAGTGAAGGCTTTGACTTTGACTCCAAGCAGAATGAGAGGCCATGACAGCATTTTGGACAGAGAAATGAGATTTGAGTCATTTTTAAGGGTGAATTTATTCAATGATATTCACCATTGAATGGGTTTCTAGTGCTATGCCGGGTACTGAGTTTGGTGCCGTTGGTAAAGATGAATGGATAGCCCCCGCTTTCAGAGTGCTCATAGTCTCTGGGCCTCAGGAACTGCTTGTTGAGGTCAACATGTTGCATATTTAAAATCTACTATCCTTGCTATTATCTAACCTAATACCCTTGCTATTACCTAGATCCTTCCCTTACCTAACTAGCCTTCTGCTCTGTGTTGACTCCGTGACCTCAGCATCTGCCTGCTGCCCTGTCCTGGGTGAGAACAGGAAGACCTGGCTCAGATCAGTCCAGAGGTACAGGTGCCCAGTGCTGCCCTGAACACACCGTGTGGCCTTTGACAAGACAGAAGTCTCCCCTTTTCTTGGCTTTCCATCTGTTTACACAATTTTCTGGAGAAGTATATTTGTGAGGTCTGATGAGATAACCAGCATGGAGAGCTTTCATATGTAATGGAAAACTGGCAACTTTAATTTTCCCTCAAATTATCATACTCTAAAATAAATAGAGAGTCGAGAAGATTCTCCAGCTATTCATTCTGGCAGCGCTGCCTCAGCTGAAGACCGTCTACAAGTTGGCAGGCCAGAAGCAAAGAGAGACTTAGTTCCTGGAGATAAAACCTGCTAGTTATCAACAACCAAAATTCTGAGAGAGGGTCTTCTGGGGAAGAGCCATTTGTAGCAACAACCTCATTTTAGAATTTTAACTTGCTTGCCTCCTGCTAGCTAACTCCTTTCTGTTGGGGAAGGATGTGAAAAGTCTCATTTAATTTCGGCGTCAAACATAATTCAAAATGATCAGACTTGCTCACCTCACCTGTTAGTCCTCAATAGATGGGTCAGAGACAAAGCCTCCATTCTGAGGAGATGGAAAATGAAAAGACAGGTTTCAAGGAAGCCAGAAGAATTATCATTATGACTATGTTTGCCTTAGGTATGAATATGCAGCCTTTATGAACAGCAACATATTTTTTAATCAAATGCTTATGATGTAACCTCCCTGAAATCAGGGAAATTCAGGGATTTGGAAGGCAACTGGGGAAAGAGGCATGCAATACAATGCTACTTCACACCGCACTCGGCTTTGGAGCTAAGCTACTCCAGATGTTTTTCTTTTGTCTTCATTTAATAGTTTCCCTAAATACAATGTCTTAGTAGCAGCCAAGGCAGCAAAATATACAACATGCCAATTAATGGCAAAATGCTTAGCTAAGCAATTCTGCCTCTGAGTATATAATTATACTTTTAGAGCTCCCCCCCCCTTACCTTTCTCCTGTCAGATTTCACTAAAGAGTATTAGGAATGCAGAAAATCTTATGTGGCTATAGCATGATTAATCCTACTTAAGCAATAAGAAATAAGCTATACCACTTACTCTTAACCATGCTGGTTATATTGGCTATATCAGTTATGAATTCATAACCAAATTGTCCACAGAGAACCACAACTCCAAAGAGCAACTCCAGGTATAAAGCTGCTTCTAACCATTACTGGTTACACCTGCTTAATTTTAAAAATTAAAAGCCAAACTAGTTCTTTTTGCCTGATCAGAGATTCTTGAACTTCATATTATCAGCAAAACATGTTATGACACCTGCTCTGCCAATCCCCAGCCCTGGATCAGTCCAACCGTTAACTTTCTCAGGTCCTGCTTCCAGGCAGCTGAGCACAGACAAGGAAAAATCCCCTAACCCTGTTTACTGGCACTGTACCAAATCTATGTTCTCCAACATCAGCTGAGCCCTCAGGGCTACTGGCAGTCCTTTCGTTTGTCCCCAGTCAGCTCCGTGTCAGATTTCTCCTACAGCTGTTCTGAATTGTCAACGTGCTCTACAATCCCCTCATTCTAAGTAGCTGCCGTTGTCCATCTATTGGACAAAACAGAGGCCCTCTCTTCCCCCTCCACCTTCAGCCTGACCCTTGGGGGCATCCCCTTTTTCCCCCTCCTTCCTCCCTCCCTCTATCAGAGAATTAGCTGATCCCCAAATTCAACACTTCTGGAGAATTTTGGATACCATCTCCTTAGGCACCTTCTGGGACTTCAGCCATTTCCCCTAACCCTTTGGTGCCTTTAATCCACTGCTCTCTGCCTTCCACCCTTTGATCTACAAATTTGCTCAACTTTTTCCTTATCACCACACACACACTCGCATGCGCATACACACATGCACACATCCCCACTCACAATGTTTTAATCATTTCAGCCTTTCACTCATGCTGCAAATTGCCTTGTATAGCAATTATCTGTTTACATGACAGTTTTCAGCTGGTCCGGCAGTTTTTAATCATTGTTGTGTCACAGATTCCTTTGAGAATCTGATTAAAGCAATGGACCTGTTCCCTGAAGACACGCACCCCTTCCCACCCCCCACACACTCACAACTTGTACTTGCGATTCCAGGTCATTCGCTGACCCACACAGGGGATATTACTACTGCTCATCAATACTTCCAGTTCTACCGTTCTCCCAGGCACGCTGGAGAACCACACTTCCTTCCTGACTTGAGATTAGTCACTGCTTTGGCCAATGAAACGCGAGTGGAAGCGATGTGTGCTGAGCTTTAGGAGCCTGCTCTGGCTGTGCCACGCTTGCTTTTTCCTCTACCACCGTGACCGCTGCGTTCCAGGTAAGGACTGCGAGGGTCAGCGAGGGTCCCGGAGAGGGGAGCACGCAGAGCAGAGCACCGAGCCGGCTGCAACGGACCCACAGAGTGAGTGAGAAAGAAATCCAGTTGTTTGGAGTGGTGGCGATTGGGGATGATTGGTGACTGCAGTGTAACCCGGGCTACCCTGCTCGCTTGACAGCAGGGCATTCTCCATTAGATAGGAAACCGGCTAAGTCAGAAAGATCCTTTAGGCTACCCCCCCTTCCTGTTCCTAACCAACAAGTTCCTTTCACCCCTTATCTCTGCACCCTTAGCTCTGGCTGCCTGCAACACTCTTTCCCCGGTTCCTCCCAGGGCACCTCAACCTTCAGACCTCAGGGAAAGCGCTGCCTCTGCAGAGAGCTGCTGCTTGGCCCCATTCCCACCCCACCTCCAGCCCGTGACCATCATTCGCATCACCCCTTTCTGTCTTCCGCAGAGCAGGTCACAGCCTGTGATGATCTTATCTATTGTCCCGCAGGTTCCGAATTCACAATGTCTGTATTCTTGTTCTCAACCATGATTCGTAACTACTTCAGCCCCATGTGAACTGAAGGTAAGGGGGTACATTGAGAATACGGGCTGCTTTCATTTCTTTCATATAATGATTAAAAAAAAAAAATAGTACCGTAAAGGTTCAACTGCTTCTTTACACTTTCCCAAATGATGTTAATAGAAGAAAAAGCTCAAACTATAACTGTCGGACAGACATCCAACTGTTTGGATGCACATCAAGAACAAACCACTGAACCTTGGTATTCACCCAGTCACCATTAAGAGGTCAGCTTGACATTTTGGGCTCTTTTCAGAAAGTTGTGGCCAACAGTACTAACAACCTTTGGTCCCAACCCAGTTAAATAGTAGTTTTTGTAATTCACTGGCATACATGTTTTTGTTTTGTTTGCCTTTGCCCCCCCCCCACGCCTTTTACTCAGGATGTACACCAAATGATCTTACTTCAAAGTGATAATAAGAATCAGTCCTTAGGTTTCAGAAAGTATCAAGTAGCTAAGCCTTTGTTAGATATAGCTAGAATATCTTATCACAGAGTAAATAATTCATACTTATTCAATGAATTGATGAACACAAGTATGAAATTACCAAGTGTCTTTTACTTGTGCTTATAGCTAATACAACTACCTGCTTTTTAATTTTAAAAAACTAAAGTTTTAGCCTGTTTCACCTGCTTACAAAATTAACATGTTGAAAAATGTTAGAAATGCAAAACTTTGTTAATATGTAACTTTTCTATTTTCATTGTCATTACAAAATGTGTTAAGTCTTAACATTTGATAAAAGATTTAGAAGTTGCAGTGCTGTGCTTCCAGCATGTAACAGACTCTGACAGTCATTAGAAATCTACATTTTGTCAAATATTCAATTTCATATGCAAAAATTTTGTGGATCTTTTGAATTATTGTCTGAATAAGATAAATTTAGTTCTGATGAAAACAACTGAGCAAAATGTTTTATAATTGCTAAAAAATAAGCATGGTTGGTTTAGAAACAAAAAAAAAACTTATTTTTTTTCATAAACTATTTCATGTTTTGATTTTCCCATGTGGCAGTGTGCATTGCAAAATAGTATCCCTTCAAACATGGAGCATATCCATTACCCTATCTCTTATGTAACATGTAATTGGCATGTGACAGCTACATTTTTCTATTTATATTTTACAAAAATCTACATGGGTAACTTAAAAATAACATGATTTTTTTTATAGATGAAGCTGAAATATCTCTGCTCTCTAAAATTGTTTCCTATCAACTAATTTTTAAGAGGAGATTTCATCAGCCACCTGATTTTAAGTGAATAAGGGTAATCAGATGGGGCTTACGGTCTTTAAAGTGGGACATGCATCAAACGTGTTTGCACACACATTTGAACACACAAAGAGATTTTTTTTAAATTGTTTTGCAAACAAGGCTGGTCCTTTCTCAACTCCTCATCACTACACACAGCATTCAAAAAATTTTTATAAAAGCTTCTTTTTTGTTCTACTGGGGCATTTCAACCAAACACATAAATTTCACAGAAATAGTTGCTATAGAAATGCAAAGGGGATAAACAAGAATGAATTATGCAATCAAAAATCGCAACTGAAGTAGGGCAGTGGCAAGGTTTATGTTTAATAATGCTGACTGTATTTATTCTTGACTTTATATATACTCCAAATTGAATGTTCTGAGTCTTAAATTGGAAGGTCCTTTACAACTCAAAATAACACATCTTAATGAAAATATTTTAGCAGGCATTCCAGATTAGGAAATCAGTACATGCCAAGCCAAAAATAGTTAAATTTAATGAATAATGAATTCAAGTGATGCCAATTACTTCCCTTTATTTCACACAAAATGGTCTTTATACGAAATGAAAGAAAGAGGTTTCCTACACGAGTTTTGCAGACACCTTGGCTCTGAAGAATAAATGCTTCTTCAGGTTTCTACGGGTCTTTCACTTATTTTGCTAAGGAGCTTATTTTGAAATAGTGCTCTATAGCAGCACTTAAGGTTTTCCATTAGGTTTACTGAAGAAAAAAAAATCATAAGTTAAATCTCCTAAAAAAAAACATTTGTCTCTATTTTTGACTTGTTTAGGGATTGTATTTAAAATGCTGAATTACTAACAAGGCATCTGGTAAATGTGACTGTGGTTATTAAGCCTTTGATCTTGCTAATTAACTTTTATTAAACTTTAGAGGGAAAAAGTTCTATCAGTCATCTTAGTTAGACACAGTTTTAGGAAAAAAGTTAGTTTAGCAGACTGATACAACCTGTGTTCTAAAGCCAAAATAATCCTATTTAAAATGTGTAACAGTGACACACCCATTCGTATTATAAAATTTAACTCCTAGTTACTAATAAATCAATATAATCAGCATAAGAAAAAGCAAGCAGGGAGAGGAGGAATGGGAGGGGAATCATCTCAGAAAATTAGCCTACACCTCTCTCTCTGAAAATATTAACCTAAACAATTTGTGTAAGCCTTCTATTTTATACTGCTTTAGCAATATGATAATAAAAATTATATCTGAATCAGCATTTTACTTAAGTGCACTTTTCAGAACCTCTTTGGAAGAGTGGAGGAGAATGGGTTGTGGTCTTAGATAGGCAAGAATTCAAAGCCAAGCTCCAACAGGTACTGTGGACCTTGGCCATGATTTAACACCTTCAGTTTGTTTATTCATCCATAAAATCATAAGGCATTTATTCTAAAATAATCTGACTTTTACAACAAAGCACCATTAAAATTATCCTGATGAAGGTCACCAGTATCCTCTTAAGTTTAAAATCTTATGTAGCTCTTATTAGTTCTCTTTGTAGTATTTGACTCTACCATTTAAATAACTCTTTGGACTGTTTTCTTCAAAATGGCCTACACTTTTTCTGCCATTTTTCCTCCTTTCTGGGAATGTATTATTCTCTTTTATGCATTCTACTCTGTTAATTAGATGACCTCTGTACTCTTCACCTGGCTCAATAGTCTTCCCAGCAAATTCCATTCACCACTGCTCCTTCCCATGACTTCACCCCTCACCTGTACCCTGATGATTGCCTTGTATGTGCCTCCTTTCCTGACCTCTGCCCCAGGCTCTTTGCCTCCATATTACTACTGCCTATTAGACAACTTCACTGGATTGTTCTATTGGTACCATTCAAAACTTTGACCCAGCGGAATACAGAGAGCTAGAACTCACCCCGGGCTCCTTGTTCTCAGTTCTGCTCACATCCCCTTAGTCTCCAGAAGTTTCTTGACTCAACCTCTTCACTATGTATTCTTTATTCTGCCAATGCCTCAGCTTTCTCATATTTTTATTTTTTTAAAGATTAATTAATTTATTTATATTTATTTATATTTATTTTTATGTATTTATTTATTGACACAGAGAGACACAGAGAGAGGCAGAGACACAGGCAGAGGGAGAAGCAGGCTCCATGCAGGGAGCCTGACGCGGGACTCGATCCTGGGACCCCAGGACCACACCCTGGGCTGAAGGCAGACACTCCACCACTGAGCCACCCAGGCATCCCAGTTTTCTCATATTTAGATCAATGGAATAGCCTCTACTTTCTCCAGGTAGTCTAAATTCTGTAACAGAGAACATTTGTAACAAGCATTGTAACAAAAATGTCTGGCTTAGCACAATAAAGTTTTTTTTTTCTTGCTCATGTCACAATCCAGTACAAGATATAGGGGAGAATTCTGCACTATATTTAGGTAACCAGGATTCCTCCATCCAGTGGCCACAACACCAACTCCTCATGGCTTAGAATCCCCACTCAGACCCCTGTAACCTGGCAGGCAGGCAGGTGAGAGAGAGAGAGAGAGAGAGAGAGAGAGAGAGAGAGTTTATTTTGGGCCTGGTCTATGTACAATGCTGGATTCATGGACAGAATAAATGCAATTAAAACTTCCATTCCAAAAGGGGAATAATGGGATATACATAGTGTTCACTGGTCTATTGCAATTCTGAAATCCTGCTTGGCAGGTCTTATTAAAGCCCCTACCCTGGGGAGAAGGTGAGTTATTTAATTGAAATTTAATTCTGCTACTTGGGAATAATTCTCTTTTCCTCTTTTCTCCTTGGACCTCAACTTTTAGGAGTTCTTATTATCTATTTACTTCCTTTGGTCACAGCTGAAATGAGTGTTACCAAAAGACTGGGATCCAAAATGTGATTTTACAGCTCAGCCAATGAGTTTTTCAGTCTGACATCTTGGACTTCTTGACAACACAATTTTCTTCAAAAACTTGCTAGGTTTCTGTTGTATTCGCTTCTATCTAGAATTCTTGGATCTATTTCTCCCCTCCCTCCTCTCCTGAACAGCTACTTTTATTATGGTTTCATATTGGAAGGCTTCACTCTTAATATTCCCTTTGACATAAAACTAAATCATGCTGTCCAACTAAAAAGTTTGACTGACTCTTGTGGCTCCATTTGGGATCTGGAAGCAGTTGGCTTCCCAACCACTTTTCATCCCAAGTCTTTGGGCTCTCTATTGTTTGCTAGTCAGCTTGAAAACTGTCCAGCTCTGAGCACATCTCTCTCTCAAAACACCTTACCAAAGAAGCCAACACACAGATTCTTTTTAAAACATCCCCTAAAATAATGGTTCTCAAAGTGTGGTCTGCACACACCTAGGGACCCCAAAGATTCTTTTAGTGGATCATAAGGTCAAAAATACTTTTGTAAAAACACTAGAAGGTCATTTGCCTTTTTCATGGTATTGACAACACTTGCACCAATGCTGCAACAAGCAGTGGTGGGTAAACTGCCGATGCCTTAGCCCAAATCAAGGCACTTTCACCAAACTGCATCACTGTACTATATCTTTAAACTTTGTGTCATATTTATTGCCATATATTCACTTCTTTTTTAAAAAAAAAAAGCCACTTCCACTTAAGAATGCACTTGCTGAAATGGGAAAAATTGTTTTATTAAATCTCAACCATAGAGCATAAATCTTTTAAGTATTCTGTGGGATCAAAAGGCAAGAACACGTAAAGCACTTCTGCTACATAACCAAAATACAATGGTTGTCTTGAGGAAAAGC